GGGAAGACAGATTTTTGACTCAATATTAAATAGTTTCATGCATTTTATGAGCTGTGGCTTCCTGGATTAATCTCAAGGTTAAACATTTACTACAGGTGTACCACAGTAATGGTGCTTTGTGGCTAGTGGCAATAAAATTGCGGTTGAGGAGGAGAAGTTGCCCAGATAATAGAAGCAGCCAGATAAGTTGCCTGCCCTGAGACATTGCCTGTCCTCTGTGGATGTATTCATTCCAGGCTTTATATGAAGATAGGTGAGAGAGGGGATACAGCAGGGGACAGGCGGGGTTAGGGACACAGAATTATATGTTAAGGTCTTTCCTCAGCTGTACTCTGTCACTCAATGTATTTACTGTATTAATTGTCTTCAGCAAAAAGGTTGTATAAATGCAAAATACAAACAATGTATGGAAATAGCAGTCCCAGCAAATGTCTAGAAATGCACTGCTTTATTCTTAGAGCTTTCATGTACTTTAATGGCATCCCAGCTGGATGAGGTGATGCTGTTAGGGGAGGCTCATTAGCTGTTGTCCATGAACTTGGGTTCTTTGCCATTCCTTCAAAAGCTGTTTAGGGCTCTGAAAATTCCATTTTGGAGAGTTAGTAACTTGGTGTTATTTTCTTCTTGTGCTGTAGGATGCGAACAGAGAACCGTGTCTGGGTATGAGCTGAGGTTGCAAGGGTTGTCCTTGATGCTAAAACAGCCAGTAAAACCACAGTAATATCTACAAAGAGTTACAGACTTGATATACCTGAAGTAGTGCTTTGCCACTGCTAATGCTGCTCATCATGCAGCCCTCTAAGAGAGATTAGCAGGCAGCTGGCAACAAATGGGAGTGGTGAAAAAACAATATTTAGGAGAAGACAACTTCCTAAAGAAACTGAATGAGGAACCAGAGACAAAGAGTGAGATACAAATGCAATTTGACAGATGCCATGACAAGGACATCTCTGGCCATTCTGCTACAAAGGTTTTCACCCACCTCTGTTTTTACTTCCTTTAATAATAATACCTCATTGCCCTCTCTCTTAAAATAATGTCAAACTGGATCTCTGCTTTTACAACAAAACATGTTAGGACAGCATTTCAGAGCTCAACTTGTAATTACAAACCGAAGGAGACTCCCATAGATTCAAACAGTTACCAGCATAAGGTAAGATCCAAGGTTTCTGCCTGGTCTGATCGCTGTTTTGGAGCGAGCTTTGACCTCCTTTTTCTGAAGAAGGTATCTGTCTGTGCGCTTCAGAAAGGTGAGTCTTGCCGCAGCCAGTAGAGAAAGATAGGTAGAAAAAGGAAAGGAGGATGCCAGAGAGTGATGAAGAGTTACAAGTATGTAGGCTGAGGGAAAATATGTGAAAGTAAGAAACAGCACTGGATGAACAAGTCATCAKTACAGCAAATAGCTCTCAAAGATGTCTTTTGACCAGCTATCTGGGTATAAGCAGCTGCTGAAGTCAGTACATTCAACTAGCCATGTTGCTGTGGCAATTTTTATATATATAATAAACACAAATTACATTATTTTAAATTGTTGTCTTTTCCAGGTTTGCAGCATGCAGGAAATCCTGAGAAGTCTAACTGCATACTTGTAACTATTTTGCTGCTGAGAAGGGCCATCATATCCATTCTCCCAAGACTGAACTCGGTGGTAATTCTCTCTCCACACAGATACCAGAACTTGTTTCTTCAATATGTGCAATATGCATGAGCAGGACTAAACCAGGACAGTTTCCTGAATGTGGGATTCCAGAGAAGACATCATCTGTGGCTTCAGATAATTTTATTACCAAGACTGACTCTTTTGGCAGACACACGTTCGGAAGTACTGTGTTGCTTGGTTGATTGAAGCAYCCACTCTTACAAGGCTGCTCTGAAAGGCTGAGATGGCTCTGACTTCTCCAAAYTCTGCAGTAGGGAATTTGATACAAAGAGAAGAACTCGTGTTCCATAGTGAAAACTGTTGTCGTTTCCTCTCTGCAAACATCGTCAAAGTAGGTAAGTGAAAAGTTACGATTCTTTCATTTTATAACTTCATACTGATTTTTTTTTCTCACAGTTTATAGTATTGGAATTTCATATGGGACCTTTATGTTTCTGTAAGGTTATTTGCAGGAATTGGGCTTGCAAATTAGGAGGCTGAATTCCTTGAACCCTTTTTTTCTTTGTTTAGTTCATGAGATGAAGGAGGATTGGGTGGAGAATATCAAAGCCAAGTATCACTGCTGTGTGTTTTACCCGTTCCAGTAGTGTCCAGGGGTTGGTGGCATGTGTGAGGCTATAGTACCTGAATGGTGCCTTAATGGTCAGGAATGAAATGAAGTGCAGTTAGAGGGCAAAACCTGTACCAAGTCTGCAGAAGGTGTAATCTTACATTAAATGGTAAAGATTATCTGCTTCAGTCTCTCTTAGAGTTCCTCACATACACATTATCTGTAATGTTTTAGACTCAAAAAAACCCTACAAGAACAGAATGTAGAATGTAGTATGTAGAATTGTTATCATTTTCCCATCACACTTCCTTAGGGTGGAGGACTTTCATCATGGACTTCAGGTTTGTGGTGTTCAAGTTCAGCTGGTTGGATTTCTGTGTCAACACAATCCTGTGTTCACCTGATTATAGGAAAACTGCTAAGCAGCAGGAAGATTAAGGCACTTCACCTTGGAGTTGTAGTGTTCACGTTCAGATATGATTAAAAAACAACTTTTGTTTGATTTACAGTATTTTAAACCAAACCCTATATTACAAATGGAGAGAGAGATTAAAGAAGAAAAAGTTTCTAGGTGATTTTAAAAGAGAATTAGAATTAAATCCATGCTTTATATGCTGTTTTTCCTCCAAGTACTATTTTCTTTGTCAGTGTTCACAAGTGTCTAATGAATAGTGCTAAGAAACATTTTTCTGTAGCAGGAAGATGATGACTGTAGAGTTACCAGTTTTTCTCAGGACATGCTGGGCAGTGGAGTCTTCTTATGAACAATGGGAAGCTCACTTATACTTCACAGGCAATCATAAATATATGCAATGCAAATAGAACCCACACCTATTATGTGAATTAATTGTAGTTCTGTGATTAGGATCTTGATAATATTGTCTTCTGTGACCATAAATAATGACACTAATGTAGGAATATTTGCCACAGGGAAGTTCAGCAAATGGCACTATGGCTTCCTGTGGGTGACGCTTGTACAGTCGCCTATCAACTATCTGGCTATCGGCCAGGCTCCTGGCTGATAAGCACTAGTAAATGCTTTTAACTGTTTTCTTCTTTAATCTTTAATGGATATGTTTCAAAGGCAACCCTGGATACTGTGAGAAAGGAGAGGAATGTTTGCAGTAGAATGCAGCAGCTGTGAGGGCCACAAGAACAAGGAGCATTCGTGCTGTTTCTGCAGCAAAACTTCTTAAATGTTTTTAAACTGAGGATTTGTTTCATAGGGTGTAACTGGCAAAAATGTGTGGAGTGTTAACTGAAAATGATAGGAACTTTTGTTCTTTGAGTCTTTCAAGTACACCTTGACAATCCTTTAAGTTGACGGAATAGCTCTGATTTATAGTGCCTCGGGTTGTGGCACTTTGCCATGGAGGTTGTCTGAGCTGCGAGATTCAAAGCCCAAAGAACAAATGTTGCTGGTTATTGTCGGTCTTTTTTCAGTGGTGACAACTTGCTCAGGAAAATGAGCTCTTATCACAGGAAGATTTTGAGATCACCTGAAGCACAAAAGTGTATCTRTATTGACTGGAGATTGGGTAGGAGGAAGGCAGTTGTGTAACTGATGTCTGTGGCAGATGAACTTTTTGCTATAAGAAAAAGGGTTTGAAGGAGAAAGAGGTGGCTTGTTGCCTTAAAACTATTTAACCCCAAAGTTTGAGGACACAGGATATATTCTGTTGAAACTGACGACTAATGGTCAATTTATTACTGTGTGTATTCCCATATTTGTACAATCTCAAAGCAGACAATCCCTCATATTTAGGCTGCCCTTGCACAGCAATGCATTTTACCATTTTGGAGGTCGGTTTAGTTTCTGTGATAGCCCAGTGTTTGGGCTGGTATGTATTGTTCTACTAATGAATAAGATGACTTGTCTTCTATATACTTCTGTACATAAGGCTTTGTCAAGTGTGTGTAAATAGGACAGAGTGCAAAGAGATGGCAGGAATAGCTGGAGGGAGAAAATAGTGCCCGCATTGTATCCCGCGGCACCTCCAGCATTCCCCTGCGAGTGGGACTGAGCCCAAAAAAAAGCTGCTCCTCTGCAAAAAAATTCCTTTGCGGCTCTGTTCCCAACACCCATCGGAGTTTGTTCTTATCTGCTTCCATAATTAACTCTTTGTGCGGCTCGGATTGACCGTTGAGTAGAGCAGTGACAGCTTCTTCTCTTCACTTATTTCTCCTTCATGTGGTAATAACTGGGGAGCAATCTATGCTGAGGTGATAACGTTGTTGGACTGTTGCCTTGATTGCCTAACCTATGCTCTCAAATATGGTATTTCAGCTTTCTCCTTTGGGTGAGAAAGATCTGCAATTGTTATAAAACCATACAGTTACATACCCCTAAATTGATGGTTTGTTTTCCCACATATCACAGCTACTTATAATCTACTTTAGTATCATTCTTCTTAATCTTGGAGAGCTTGAAACTCTCGCCATTCCTCTGTGGTTTTCTGACTTGCTTGATCAACTGAGACAACGTTTTGCAAAACTTGTTGCTTTCTTTAGAAACAAATTTCCCCATTTCTGTGTAGGTTGCGTATGGATGAGGAATAAAATTCATTTATTACCATGTAAAAAGTAAATCTGGATGGAGTGTTGCCATTAAGTTTTATATAATTTTGCTTTATAGTAGGGATTTGACCTCATTACAGCATGCGGAAAGTCCAAAATCGAGGAAGTATAGGGCAAATTTAGCAATCCTCTATTTTTAAAATATGTTCTGGCATGTTTGGACTTGCTTTTGCCCTGTAACTGGACGGAAGAGTTGTCCTATGTGCAAAAAAGCAAACTGCTGTTTATTTAGGGGTGTTGAACACCACATTAGCTTGGAGACGTACGTAAGATGGCCTTTGACTTGTGCATCTGACTTAGTGCATGTCCCCCTGAGCAGTGCTGCTGGTGTGGGAACTTCTAACGTTGAAGTCTAGATAAAGAACAGATACCCAAGCAATATATGAATTGGCATGAACTGTCTGGAAGAAACACTAATTAAAGCTAGTTCATTGTGAAACTGCCTGTCTGCTGGGATGCAGGATGAGAATTGATGCTATGACTCTGCTGGTTTTGCAAGCATTAACAAGCATGCAAAAGGAAGGATGTTGCTTTGGATTTCTGTTGTTCTTGCTGCAGTTTGTTGAACGGGCTCTGGAAAGATGCATTGTTTCAGCACAAGCGTTTCCACTTAAGCACAGAAAGCTCCTTGATTTTTCTACTGCATAGACTGCGGATACTACAGAATCCTGAAGTTTCTGTAACTTCTGCTCCATTTGTTTTGATTGTAAGCAAGATCTGTATGCTCGTGCAACAGACAAGTTCCAGTTGTGTTTTGGCCTCGCTCTTACCAGTGCTGAAATGCAAATAATGATGCTTGACCTAAACAATTCAGAGATGAAATAATCATCACAAAATCGCTCAATGCCATCTGTGGGCACTGATGCAAGCTGCTTGAGAACTGTTCTGCAAAATACAGTCTACAAGACCCACCACCCAAAACGTCTGAACCCTAGAAGCTTGGTTATCTGGAAATACTGAGTTAGATGAGAATAAGTTCAGTAGGATGCATAGTCAGTGATCGATTCCCTCTCTTGCCAAAGGAAAAAAGGAAAAATGAAACCAAGCTGCTTCATGTAGAGATACAAATTTAGATAGTTTTCTTTAATTAAAAAAAAAAAAAGAGCATATCTTTTAAGATGAAGACCTGTTCAATCAGTGAAGCATCTGTTGTATAAGGCAAGAATTGTTTTAGCAGATTCATTATGTATCCTAGGTAACACACAGTTCCATTCACAGATGCCTGATCTAACTCTATGAGTGGGTGACATGCCAAAACTGAGGGAAAACATGCTATTAATGTTGTCAGGCTGGTGTTTTGAAATCCTAGAGAGCCTCAGGGTAAGGCTAGGAAAAAAGTTGGGCGATTTGTGTGTGTAAAGTGGGGATGGCAGTTGGCAATTTCCAAATTCTGCTACTTGCCTCTTGCAATAATCTTGGCAAGCTCAATTCTTTCTCTGTGCCTCTATTTTGATGACACTAAAATTGAGCTTAATAAGGGACTGTCCATGTCGTGGGCATCTTTATATATATGTGTGTGTGTGTGTGTATATATATATATTTGTGTGTGTGTGACAATTGTGTGGTGGAATAACTGCTGGTCCTCAGGGAATTTTGCATTACAAAAGATAATATTTGACTGTAACTTAGCACTAGAGGGCAGAGGTGCTCTTCATTTGTTCCGTATATCCATACATGACATATTCCATGCATGCTTTACATATCTGACAAAGGAAGGTTTAACAAGCCATGTGTTACGGAAAACACCAGGAGGATATTTAGCTCATTAGGCAGTCCATTTTTTTTAAAGGAAACTAGAGCAATCATTTTCTTAATGGTTGTTGAATTTCTCTTGCAGATTATTTCCCTAATCTTTATTTTTATCAATTTTAAGCAGATGTCACTCATCTCCTTCCTGTTGACTTGAAGGAGTAGATATTTGCTCCTTAAGAGTATTTATTGGGTAATAATAGTATTGGGTACTATTAACTATTACATACTGCACTGGGACTTTGAAGCCCTCTGGAGAATGAGAGTTGTACTACCATCCCAGAAAGAGCCTTAGAGAAGAGACTGAGAAAATCCCACTTTATTTCAGGCTCAGTGCAATATCTGAGAAGAACACTTCCAGTGGCACAGAGCTGTGTGGTCTGCAGAACCATTAACGGGTTTATTTTTATGTTGCTTGTGGAAGAAGCGACATTGTTTGTTGAGGCAAAGCCAGAGGCA